CGGGCACGTGGCTGGGATGACAGCCGTCCACCCGGGAGACACAGCAGGATTACACTACTCAGAGTGGTGTACAATATAAAACTTTTTTTTAAACTTATTTTCTTATAGCAGAAACACATTATTTACTAACCAAAGGGCTGATCCTAATTAAGCCAACACTGAGGAACAGTTGCCAGTACAACGTCTGTGATAAAAATAACTGAATAGTAATGGGAAAAAAAAACCTGGAGAGATTTGCTCACTGAACTGAGTCTGTTTCTCCTCGCAGCTAATTCCTGTCCAGAAGGATGATGGAATTTTTCCTCTACTTTCTCAGAGACCCGAGTACAGGTGATGTTGTTCATGACTCACGCCCCCACTAGCTTCCCCCCTTCCCATTTTCTCGTTCCTGTGCTTTCCGTCCCGTCCCATTTCTGAGCTGTTTATGAAGCTGCAGACAGTCTGAGTTTTTCTGCCACCGGCTGTAGTTTCTTCAAACTCCCTCCCAGGTCACATGCAGTTTTCAACATGCTCTCAGTTTTTAAGGGGAGGCTGTGGCCGTCGGGAGTGGTGACACAGTCTGGTTTGGCCATGGCATCCGCTTTTCACAGAGCCATCCCTACTCCAACTCCCCTCAGGGACTCGTCAAAGCCTCTGCCTCACGAAGCGCCCTCTTCCTGCCAGCTGCTGGGTGGTGCCCATGGTGGTGCAGGTGGCAGGAGGGGCGAGAGGGGCAGAGGGTGTCATGGGGAGTGTGGCCTAAAACTTACAAACTGCTTATTTCTGGGATTTCCCATTTAATACTTTTGTGCCATGGCTGACCGCAGTTAAGTGAAACCGCGGATGGGGGGTGACTGTACTGCTCCCCGTGGCTGGTTCACAAGTGCCTGGTTTTGTCTCCCCAGTGAGATGACACACTTCTTGGCATGCTCTGGTTCCTGTGTCCACCAGCTGTCCCCTATCTCTGCGGCCTCTGGCCCAGCGGGGACCGTGTTGGCTTCCTCCTGCTGCCCAGCCTACCCAGCTTTCGCAGAACGTGTGGGCAGGGCCCCGGTCTGGCGCTCCGCTTTGCCACGGTGCCCCCACCAGCAGCCGGTGCTCCATGAACACTGAGTGAGTGAGTGAACCACGCGGGTACCTTTCGGACATCACCTCCTGATACAAGGACCCTGCAGGGTTGGCCCGCCTCCACCGGCCTGCCTGCTCCCTCTGTACTCACGTCTGACACTGCAGTGCCAGGGGACGCGTCACACACCCGCTAACCTCAGGCCCCACTCCACAGGCCCCACACACTGCCACGCTGCACTGCCATTCAGAGGCCTCCGAGTGCCACTTCTGTGGGCACCAGAGCAGACAGCCGTGTGTGAGGACGTCTGAGTCACTGCGAGGGCAGAATGGGCTGTCACGCTCATTTGCTGTGCTTGCCCCCGGCTCCCACCAGCACAAGCTAAACGAGGAGCCGCGCCCCGCTGGACAGGCTGGCGCTCAGCAGGCGGGATCATTCCTGTGGGCGCTTCTCACCGCAGTGATTTGCTTTCCAACACTGACTGGCAAACATTTGCCACGCGCGTCTTTCACGTAACGTGAAGACGATACACTCTGCTGTCTTCCAACGTGATCTTAAATGCCTTCCACACACAGGCAACTTACCGGCTGTGCTTTCTCTTGCCACTAAACACAAATCCAGCAATTGTTTAGCTGTGAAAGCCTTGGGTTTAGCTCTTTGGTGTTAGATGTGATATTTAAACAAAATTCTGAAGAAAGAAAAAAAAAAACCATAATCCCACCAACCTAACAAAAGAAGTAGATTTTTACATGTTAACCTTTCAATCTATCCATACATCCACTCATTTTCCCACAAGTCTTGAAAGCTTATTTTTAAGTATGATTTTAATTTCCCAAGTTACCCCAGTGACAAAGTCCACGAGAAGATTCTACCTGGGGGCTCAGATCCTGGCCCAGAAGGGGATTCCATCAGGCAGTCTTGTTCTCATCAGCTCTCGCCCTGCCACCCACAACGAGAAACCGCTGAACGTAACCAAGAAGGCATCTAGAAGCCACCCTGACGTGTCAACGATCACAAAAGTGGCCACATACATCCATATTCTAAAAGTCAAGTTAGACGATAAATGGGTCAATGCAAATGAAACAGTAACATTTCCGGAGCATTTATTACGTGCTGGGCACCCGCCTACGCACGTTATGTGTATTACCTGCACAACCGGTACTGTTACCGTTACGCCTCCAGATGAACGAGGGGACTGAGCCTGGGAGTCACCAGGCCGGCTCAAGGGCCTGGACACGACGAGGAAGCAGTGGAGCCAGCGCTCCACGCAGGCAGCCCGTCCCCAGAACCTTACTCTCACTGCCGCTCTGTACCGTGGCCCCCCTCCACCGCCTGAAAGGCAGACGTCTGTTGGGGGACCAGGAAAGCCAGCGGCTAAGGTACATCCTTCCCACACGACCCACTTGTCCTTCCCAGAGCGATGGGGACTCTCCCACCCGGTCCTCAAGGTCTCCCTCTCGCCCACCCACACTAGCGATGCTCTAGAACGTCCCTGCACAGGGGAGGATGGGACGTCTGGAGAGCAGCTGTCAAGTCGTCTGTCGTAACAGGAAGTTTGTAGTGTCCATCGGAGGGGCGGCAAATGAACGACGGGGCACCATGACGGGCACGCTCAGAGCCCTGTACAGGCTACAGCGCTCTCCAGAGTTTAGGAGGAAATACACGGTTCCATGGACAAAGTGAGAGCAACAGCGTTACCGTTCCCGTGGAGAAAGAAGCACACTGTGCAAATGCACAGACCCCAAAGTGTGTCTCCACAAACCACCAAGGAAAAAGAGTAACTCGTCACTGGAAGAGCTGGCAGACCCATCCTAACCACGTGATCAGAGTGGACGTCGTCAGCAACAGGACAAACCAGCCCCACAGACTCCTGTGACAGCGACCAAGAACACAGATGACCTGACGGCCCAAATCCCATCAGGAGGACATGCCATAGCCCACCGCGAGGGACCCACACTCTGCAATAAATTCCGGTCAAAGAACGGGACGGAAGGCTGGTACTGCGGCAGGTTAACACCAACGGGAGACGTGACACAAACGCAACACGTGGTCCCACAGGATTCTGGACTACAGAAAAGATATACTGGTCAACATGACTACGTGCTGTGGATTACATAAGAGCACCGTACAGTGTTCCATTTCCTGACCTTTTTTTAATTATCATTATTAGTTTCAAGTGTACAAAACAACATACCATTCACACCCCTCACAAAGTTCTGATAACCCCTCCCGCAGTCTACTGCCCCTCTGACATCGTCTACAGCTGTTCCAGTTCCACTGACTCTGTTCCCTATGCTGCGCTCCATTTCCCGTGACCATATACAAATATTAAATTATAGTTGACATTCGTTATTACTCAGCTTCAGCTTCAGGTGGACAGTTCAGAGGTCAGGCATCTCCACCGTCCATGAAGTGGTCTCCCTAATAAGTCCAGTGCCCATCTGACACCCTACAAAACCTTTACATCATTATTGATTATATTCCCCAAACTGTCTTTTCTATCCCCATGGCAACAGTGTGACTACTAATTTGTGCTTTCTAATCCCTTCCCCTTCTCCCTGGTCCCCACCCCCCTCCCATCTAGCAACCATCAGTTTCTTTCTCTATATCTCTGAGTCTATTTCTGTTTAGTTCGCTCATTTATTCTGTTCTTTAGATTCCACAAATTTCCCAACTTTGATAATGATATTGTGACTATATGGAGGGAATGTCTTATTCTCAGGGAACACACAGTGAAGTTTTCAGGAGTGAGGAGATATGATCCAGTAGTTCAAGAAAAACGTGCACACACAGCACATACATCAAGAGAACGAAACGGGGCAAAATGTAAACAACCGGTGAATCTGGGCAAATAGTATATGGGAGCTGCTTATACTATTCATGCTTTTCTATAATTTGAAATTATGTCAAAATCAAAAGTCAGACCCAACACTGCATGGACCATCTCTGGAAGAAGACTCCTGGGGTGGTGCACAAGGAAGAGAGGGGGGAGGTGGGCAAGGGAAAGGGGTTCACCTTCCCTCAACGCCCTTTAAGTGTTTGTAACTGCCCTACATGTGCACGTGCAAAAACCAGTAAAACTAAAGCGGGAGCGCACTGTGAGAATGGTGCCCAGAGCCCCAGAACAGGGCTACCAGACCTTCCCGGCCACCTCCTGGGCCCAGGCAGGCTGCTTCCGGTTGGCCAGGCTCGCCCCACCTGGTTGCTCAGTGCCACCCATTCATGGGTCTCACGCGCCACCTGCTGGCCGAGCGGGGCACTGCCCTCCTCAGGGTGCCCAGCCCTCAGAGCTCCTCCATTCTGGCACCTGCCCCGTAACCAAGAGTGATTTCCTGACCATCCTGAAAGCTCCAGCACCCAGCAAAACACCTAGCACAGGGTGGCACTTGACAAAGAGGAGATACATAAATGAAAACACAGATTCAAGTGCAGTTCCGGCAGACGACTTGGAAGCAAGCACGTGCCTCGAAGCCTGGTTGCAGAGCGTCCACAGTAGGTATCATGACCCACAAGAACCACACTGGTGACGGCACTGTCCCCCGCAGGCCCGACGGCCTACCCAGGCTCGCCCCGGCTCCCCTGCAGTGCTCACAGCCTATCACACTCTACGCCGACTGGGAGGCCCCAGCAGGAAGGTGCAGAGTCAGCAGTGGTCCTGACGGCGGTCGCCAGCCTGGCCCCAGGGACACTATGAAGAACGCAGATGCCCACCTGCCAAGCCTCACAGAGCAAACCACGGGCAGCTCTGAAGCCCAGAGAACGCAGCTGGGGCCTTAAGAAAATAAAAGAACAGAAAATACTGATCAAATTGCACTGGACGCATAGTAACAAAACATGTGTACACAACGTGAATCACACAGGGAAGCAAGTGCATTGAACAGCAGACCGGGTCCCCCAAGAACTGGGCCTCTTTCAGGAACAAGGCGCCTGCGCAGTCCGCCACCCAGCGACTTACCCAGGTCTGTGTTGGGCCCGGCGAGGAGCTGCTTGAACTTGTCGAGCCGGGAGGCCTCTCTTTCACTTAACGCTGAGCTGCTGAGGGTGCTGGGGTCCGATGTCCCTCCCAGTGCGACAGTCGCCGAGTGTGGGAGAGACTGGGACCTCTGCAGAGGGACCGTGTTGCTGGCACTTTCTGCGGAGGGAGAGAGAACAGAGGGTGAGGGCGGCCCCTGGACTTTCTGGCCTCCACCAAGAAGGCCTCCCACTTGCTGTGCCGCTCGCCCTGTGTGAATGCTGCCGTGTCACAGCTGTTCTTCCTCCCAGCACTGAGCAGCGCCGACCCCGGTTTCCTGAGCAGTAAGATGGAACTAGCTAATACCTATGAAGTTCACCCGCCTTACTGGTACAGTATCATCCATCAGGAAAACAGACACGCCCCACATAGAAGACAATGACAACCAAAAAACTCCAGGCCACCGCAGGACATGACAGAGGCCAGGGCACCCCCAGATCAGACCTGCCCAGATGACATGACCAAAGATCTGTGGGTGTAGGGCGGGAGGAGGGTGCCTGCATGGGTCGCCCAGGCCTGAGCATGGAGGGAAGCCCGGGGTCACCTGCGATGGGGGTGCAGCCGAGAAGGCGCTGAGACCAGGCGGCAAAGGCTTGGGCACGCCAGGGACCAGAGACGCTGCAAGAGCGCAAACCCAGCATCCCCAGAGCACAGGAGGAGGGGCGCCGAGCACAAGCTTGCCCAGCCCTCGCCCAGGCTGAAGGGCCTGTGCCCACAGGGACCCAGACAACCCTCAGGGGCGAGGTGAGAGCACATCCCATCAGCAGCCTAGAACCAGGCACAGCCAAGGGAAGAGCCCAAGGCCCTCCAGCAACTCGACAAACAGCCACCAAAACCAGCAAAGGGCCCACGAGCAAGGGGCACCAGAGGCTCGAAACCCCCGGGTCTAAATGCCTTCGAGCGATCCCAGCTTCTGAAAAGGAAATTTAAAGCAGAGTGAAAACTAAGCTCCAGGAAGCGGGGCGGGAAGCACACGGTGAGGCACACGTGCCCTGGCGGCAGCTGCTGCCAGGCTCGGGAGTGGGGATGGGGGCGGGAGTCAGCACTGCTGTGCAGAGTGTGCTCATCACCCCAAAACATGGCCGGGAAAGGCTTCACACTGCGTCCCCCAGGCACAGAGGAGCGGGCGACCCGCGGCCTCCGGTCAGAGTCTGGCCCAGAAGAGCTTCCAGAAAAGCCTGCCACAGTGGGCGCAGAGAGCGCTCTCCCGCTGCCCAGGCTGACCCTCCCCTGCAGGAGGCCTCCCCACCAGCCTGCACGGGGAAGCGCTAAGGGGGAAGGCTGAAGGGGTGCGCAGAGGACAGGTGAGACTCTCGGCGCGCCTCTTCCTCCTTAGAATCCATGCCTTCCACGCATCTCAGGATCGCGCAGGGAAGCGTTCAGCAGGAGGGCGGGTCCAGTGTCAAGGGAGTAAACGTGCTCAGTTTTATTCACCTGCAGTCCCAGAGATGACTCGTGTGACTTTAAGACACATGAGGACGCACTCCTGAGCAGAGCACACTTCCGGCCCTCCCTCCAAGATGGGGAAGGTAGAAGTTGGGAGGTAAAGCGACAGCGACGTCCCCGAGGAAACAGTAACATCGGCAACCAGTCCCTGCACCGTGAATGGAAGACACGGCAACATCCCACCCCCAGGGTCTGACCACAACCAGTCAGCATTCACACAAGACCTCATTACACAAGACTCCATCACTGGGTCAGCTTTGGGGACAACTGTCCCCTGGCTGTGCCCACTGAGCCCTTCCCAGCCAAAGACACACTTTGCTGCCACCCTAAAACAAGCCAAGTGCATCTGATGTCTGGTACGAAGGCGACAGGCTTCTCAGGCATTTACTAAGAAAGTCTGGACAGCAGACACCCGAGGTCAGCCTACAAGCCCCCGGCTGCCCATCACTCAACTTTCAGGCCACCATGTATCCAGGCTGAGGGCCAAAGGTGATAGCAGCGGCAGGCCCCACAGGTACTGCGGGGACACGGCGGCCCACTGTGAGGGACAGGCGTCCACATAAATGCTGGCAGGGGCACACCCACGTAGCAGGACAGGCAGTGCTCTCAGTGGACGGTACCCCATGAAGTGCAACATTCCAGAATGTGCAGAATTACAAAACAAAATGGAAGTCACGGGTCCCTCCTTGAGCATAGGCCCTGCCTGGTCCTGGGGAGTGGGTCCCCGTGCAGGGACAGATGTGGGTGCCATGTGGCGAGGGGAGACAGGGGAACAGCCACATGGTCGCCAGGCCTGAGGTGAGCCCGGTTGACTTCAGCAGCGTTGGTGTGACTACACCAGACACCAGGGAGAAACCGAGGTACCTGGGGCGAGGGCCCTGCCTTCAGGAACTCACCAAGCGCAAGACAGACACGACCCTGCCCCAGGGAGACCGGCCAGGCCCGCCAACCTGGGGCCTCCCCTCTGCCGGGTCAGCCTCACCTCCCGGGGACCCTGCAGACATCACCTCCTCTCCGAAGCCTCCCTGACACATCCCTGGCCCTCCTCAGCGAGACGAAACTGAGACTTCCACCCGCAGAAGCTTCTGGGTCCTGTGCGCCACTCCAGGCTCCGTCCGCCCATGGAATGAAAGCTCCCGAGAACTCGCGTCTCCCCGCTGGACTGGGAGTCACCGCACAGGTATGGAGAGCCTCGCTGTGCCAGCACTGGTCCCACGAGAACGAGGTCTGGCGTGTGTTCACCCTGGTGCCACTGCTGAGCAAGCTGTCCCGATGACTCACGGGCCAAGAGGCCCGAAAACTGCAAACAGGCCCAAGTGTCCTGCCCGCTCCACTACCCTGGCCGCTGCCGGCCACCAAGGGGGACAGCTCCCAAGAGGGGCCCAGGAGCGCCTGGGGCTCGAGGGCAGGGTTCAGCAGGCCTCGCACCCACAGCTCCACACACGTGCAGGTGGGGGTCTCGCAGGTCGAGCAGCACCCCGGCGCCTGGCCGCTTCGTGCAGCACACGCACCTGCCCCAGGTGTGCGGCCAGGAACATCCGCAGACACTGCCACATGGCCCCTGGGAGAAGCCCTGCTGGGCGGCTAACAGCAGGGGTGCTGGGTCTGCTGCCCTGAGCCAGCACCCCAGCCTGTGGTGCTGGGCGGGCCACAAGACCGCCTAGTCTCCTGTGAAGGACGCCCAGGGCTGCTGCGAAGCCTAAGGAGCTTATTTGTTCCAAAGGCTTCGTGGTACCTGCTGCACAGGAAATGAGGGGTAAGTGCTAGCTATTATTATCATTCGTGCAAATGCGCACAAAAGGCTTGCCCAGGAGGCCAAGGTGACCAACTCCAAGGTGGGCACAGGCAGGAGGCAAACTGCCACCGGCCCCCTCACAGCACAAGCCCCGGAAGCACCTTCACTTGGCTCTACAGCAGGGAGCAGCCCAAGGCCCCCCAGCTTGGCGGGGGGCAGCCCAAGCTTCCGCAGCCAGGACCCCCAGCCACACACCGTATGCGTCGCCTCTGTGACCCCGAGGTCCTGTGCTGAAGCCCTACTCCCACCCTCGTGTGACGGTGTTAGGAAGAGGGGCCCTGGGAAGAGATGAGGACTGAACAAGGTCATGAAGGGGGGTCCCCACGGGAGGCGAGTGCCCGTGACAGCTTGCTGCTCTTCACCGAGAGGATGCGATGAGAAGGTGGCCGTCAGCGACCCAGAGGGGCCTCCCCAGGGCCTGGCCATGCTGGCTCCCTGCGCTCGGACGTCCAGGCTCCAGGCGGTGAGGACACAATTTTCTGTCAGACGTAACCTCACAGCTGTGCGGCAGCAGCCCAGCTGACTGCATGTGACAGGCCCCCCTCGCCAGACAGGACGCTCCACGGGACAAGACTTCCACCTGGCCTGCCACTGGGGCACCCCAAGCCCTGAGCACAGCGCCCGGCCCATCACAGGTGCTCATTAAATAACCGGTTGTCATACCTCACAGACCTTCCAACACGGAAAGGGTGAAAGTAACGAGTGCAGTCTCAAGACCAGCCGCCGAGTGCCAGGCCCGTGGACACACATTGAGACATGACCGCCCTCATGCAGCTTATAATCTGAACATGGCAGTTCCAAAAATCGGAACCCCCAGACCCTGAGCCCACACGTACGTGCCCTGGGGGTCACAGCAAGCTACCAAAGGAAGTGCACTCTCTGAACGTGCGGCTGGCCGACCCCCGCCCCCCCCACCCCAACCTCAGATGGAAACGTCACCCCACAGCAAGCAAGGCATACTCAGGAGGGAGGCGGGTCCCCAAGCCCTTGTGCTCACTGTGGCCCTGTCACAGCCAGCCCACGAAAGCCACACGCCCTGCCAATCCATCTGGAGCAGAGGCACTCAGCTAGGGGGACAGAGATGAGCACGGGAAGGCCTGTGGCCACAGGCATGACCGCCCCACAGGCTTTCAAGGGCAGGGATCCCCACCCCAGACGCGAAGGGAGCCCTCCTCACTGTCCCCAGCAAGAGGACCCCAGCCCCTCCCGTGTGCAGACACGTGCATCCGAGTCCCCATCCCACCTGCAGGACAGGCCGTGTGGCTCTCGCTGACGGACTTCACCAGCCGGAGGTCACCGCCGGAGACGGGAGGGGGCTGTGCCGAGGGCTCGTCCTGCCGCTGGTGCCGCTCCTGCCGCTGGCTGTGGTCGCGCAGCACGCGGCGGGCCGTCTCCATGACCACCGCGCTGTTCAGGCTCTCGGCCGCCATGGCCAGCAGCTCGTCGTCGTCCTCGCCGGCGTCCCAGGCGTCGCTGGTGTTGCTCTCAAACTCCTGGAAGGTGCTGCCTCGCTTGGCCTTCACCGGTGTGGTCGGCGCCTTGGGCGTGGCCTTGAGCAAGCTGCAAAGCAAAGGCCGTCTTGACTGGACCCCGCAGCCCCCAGAGGCCTCTCCCCGCAACGGGGCAGAAGGGAGCCCCGGGTAAACGGTGCACAAGGCAAGGCTGCTGAGGGTTTAGTGACAGGAAAGGCAGGGAACCACCTCGGGTCTCGCTGAGCAGTCTGCCCGGGAACAGGGGCAGTGTGTGCGGGAGCACAGCATCATGGTCGGCCATTCAGGCCTCGGCCTCACCGGGGCCGGTGGCTGGCGCCAGCGCACTCTCCCACCCCCATGCCTGCGGACCTCCGAGGCAGCAGCTGGAGGAGTGAGCGGGATGCAGGCCCTGGGGGTACCAACGTTTAACTCGGGGTCCCCAAAGGGGGACCCAGGACAATACCGCCGCCCCCCCCCACCATGTGCCCAGTAACTTCCGGTTGCTCGCCTCTGGCAGAGGAGCAGTCGCAGGCAGCGGGCAGATGAGTCACCACCCCTGACGGCCGGAGCCAGGCCCTGCCCGCCGGCTGAGGGGTGCCAGCTTGTGCTCTCCTGCATGGCACACCACTTCAGCTGTGGCTTCCACGGCTGCCTCGCCGCAGAGGGTGAGCTCAGCAAGGCCAGCAGCATCCCATCCAAACCATTACTTGACATGTATTTGCTGAACGAAAGGCCCCTTTCCTCCCCCTCAGGAATTCCAGGGAGCTGAGAGGGGGGTTCACCACAGCCCCCCAAAACTGGGCCTGAACAGCCTTGTAGAGTTGAGGCTTCACTTACGTGCCATGTAACAGTGGATCAAAAGGGGGGTGCTGGGCGCCATACACGTGCTGGATGCTATTTAAAAAGAAAAGGAAAACCATCAGCTTCCCTGCGGCTTCCCCAAGGGCCCGCCCCCGACTCAGGGAGACGGCCAGCTCCTGGAACCCACAGGTCTGAGGGAGCGGCTCTCCATCACCTGACGCAGGTCACCCTGACGCCCCCCCGAAGGCATGAATGGGCCACACAAGCTCACAGCCCACAAACAAGCACAGCATTCAGCCCTCCCTGCCAACGGGCCTCAGCGCAGAAGCCAGAAGCCACAGCCCTAACGGCGTCACACAAGCCCTGGGCGCCGACCGGCGACAGGGCTGCTGGGAGCTGGCAGTACTCAGGCCAGCAAAGTTCCTGGCAGCCTCTGCTCCAGACCGCATGTCACAGGCAGGACTAAGACCTGACCATGAAATGCCAGGCTCATCTGGTACCACTCCTATTAAATAGATTTATTTTATAATAAGACTTGTTATAAAAGTCATATGCTCATCAGGGTAAATTTGGAAAGCAGGTGACAATAAAATAACCCGTGTGGCAGATGACCCCTTTGGTCAGCTCAGCAACCCCCTACACCCCTTCCTGCCGGGGACTTCCAGCCAGGGGTGGCCATGTGACATAAATGCAGGCTCTCCCTCGCCGAACATGGCACCATGTAGCCAGCACACGCTGGCCCTCGGTTTTGCCCCCTATTCCTGCCTGGGACACAGATGTGAGGCCTAGGGGTTCCTCAGCCATCTTGCCACGGTGAGAAATAAACAGGAGGAATAGAGCCACCCACGGTGGGTGGCAGGGCAAGAGGGGAAGAGTGCGGGGCTCCGGCCCCAGACCAGGGCCAGTCCGCCCAGGACCTCCTCCTCAGACCTCCATCTGCATGAAGTGAACGCCGGTCAGTGTAAGGCACAGACGCGCTCACAGGTGCAGTCTGCATGGAAGGGCAGCCGCTGGGACACTGACGCAGTGCCTCGGCAGGGGGTAAGATAATCACAGACGTAGATGTGTTGGGTATGCAGGTGACTATTTTAATTCATTAAAACAGAATGAAATCCGACCTTCCGTACTCAGCAATATATGACGACTATTGCCCCGTATCATTACTACTCTTCAAGGTACTTCAGCACTTATTTACTTTATATGTACTGCCTGATACATACAAAAACATATGCAGCATATAGAAATTTAAAATCATAGCAACAAAAGGGCACACGGGGTTTCCCTATGCATTTCTCTGCAACTCCTTGCAAATCTATCTTTGCTTCTGAATTACTGAAGTCTTTAAAAACCATCATAATAGAATGAGCACCAGTGAACTCATCGCTGACCGTGCCACCTCCCTGGACAGTGTCACCTCTCGCTTCACACTGTGCCACCGTATGGCTGCACCGTAATTTATTGAACCAATGTTGACTGTGGGACATTCAACATGCTTAAAACTGTTTGTGATTACAAAAACAGCAATAAACCGTCTCTGGGGACAGATACCTGCCCACAACTAGGAGAACTTCATGAGGATAGGTTCCCAGAAATGGAGTGCCGGGGACACAAAGGACGCGTTTATAGGGCTGTTGGCACACATGGCCACAGACGGAGCACTCCCATTCCCAGCAGCCACGTGGGCAGGCCGTAAGTCATCGCTAACCTGATGGGCGAAAAGTGGTGCGTCTCCTCGGTTACCAGGAAGGCCGAACATCCTTTAAACACTTCTGTTCGTTTGCGATACTGCTTTTGTAAACTGCCCGTTTAGGCCCTTTGGCCATTTTTCTAAGGGGCTGCTCACCCTTTTCTTACTGATTCGTAAAAACCTCCTTGTAAATAGAGGACCCCTTGGTCATTCAGGTGGTGTGGTCGGTAGAATAATGGCCCCTCAAAGATGTCACATCCTCATCCCAGAACCTGTGAATGTCACCTCCCATGGCAAAGGGGGCTTTGGGCTTTGTCAACGTGCTTCAGGACATAACCTTGGGGTGCACCCTGGGTCATCCACGTGGGCCCCATCTAACCAGAGGCCCCAGGAGTGGAGAACTTTCCAGGCTGTGGTCAGGGGAGCCTTGCCCATGGAGCGTGCTTGGCGCCGTGCTCCACGCTGGCTCTGGAGACGGAGAAATGGGGCCACGAGCCCAGGACTGTGGGGAGCCGCCAGCAGCCGGAAAGGTAAGGAAACCAAGGGACAGACAGCTGAACGCGCCTGCCCAGCTAGCAGGTTACACAGCCAGCTCCATGGCACACAGAACATAAGGAATACCCACCAACCTCGCAGCGAGTCAGTTCCACGAAGCCTAACATTCTGCCTCCCGATCTAATTCCCTTCCTGCCTCCTCACAGGTAACCACCAACCTGAACTGGACACTTACAATTCCCATGAAAGTGTTTATATTTTTACTGAAAACTCCTGCATCTCTAGGCAACATGTGATATTATTCTGTACATCTGTAAAGTCTGTATTGGTAATATCATATATACCAATATATATACCCCGGTATATAGATCATATATACCAGGGGTGCCAAAAAAACGTATACAAGTGGACACTTTGGTCAGCGTTGCTCAAGCAGTAGTTCGCTGTAATCAGAAGTGTCGGGACGCTGTTGGTAACCACTTTGAGCAGCTCTTGTAATTCCAGAAGTCAAACATGACTTGTATTCATCTTTTGTTATCGGTACATATTGAGTATTACAATTTTAGTAGTTTTTTCCTTCCTTAAAATGTGTATACATGTTTTTGGCACCCTCTGTAAATACCTTTTTGCAACTTTACTTTCTCTTGAGACTGTTTTTTATGTGCCAGTGTTAGCACACATAGCTCCAGCTTTGTTGTCCTGTGGTTTCATTTAATGTGTGACGGGGGGGTGTTAAGCAGTAAACCTACTTTTCAAAAGCATTTTTCATGGAAACACAATACAGGCGGAGGCAGAGCTGTTCTGGAGAAGCGAGGACGCAGCAGACACAGGAGAAGCCCACCCACTCACTCCTACAGAATCTGAGAAGAATGAAACTCCGAGGAACCACAGCAGGAGGCAAGGGGAAATCACTGAAAACCACTGGTCTGGTTACTTCTTCAAAATATACGGCCTTAGAAAAACGGTAGAGAAAAATTAAAAAAAAACCCAAAGATGGTCCTTTGAAAAGATGAACAAAGTAGAGAAATCCTTAGCTAGACTAAGAGGAAAAGATAAGATTCAAAGTACTAACATCAGAAATGAAGGAGAGGACATTACTATCGACCTGACAGAAATAAAAAGGACTGTAAAAGAGAATATTATGAAATTACACAGCAACAAATTAAGTAACGTAGATGAATGGACAGGTTCCCAGAAAAACAACTGAAATTTACCAAAGGAGAAAAAGAAAACCTGAATAGACACATAACATGTAAAGAGACTGGATTAGTCATTAAAACACCACCTACAGAAAGCCCAGGTCCAAACACTTTCACTGGTCAATTCCACTAAATGTATAAAGAAGAATTAATACAAATTCTTCAGAAATTCTCCCAAAATCTAGAAGCAGAAGGAACACTTCCCAACTCATTCTGTGTGGCCAGTATTACCCTGATACCAAAACCAAACAAAGCAATCACAAGAAAACTATACACCAGTATCTCTAATAGATATACATGCAAAAATTCCCAACAAAATACAAGCACACCAAATTCAACAACGTAAAAAATATTATATATGATAAAGGGGGATTTATCCAAGGAATGCAAAGCTAGTGTAACAACCATAATTCAATTAATATAGTATACCACATTAATAGAAAAAAGGACAAAAAAACACATGATCATCTCGGTAGTCACAGAAGAAAAAGCATCTGAAAAAAGTCAACACCCACCCCTTCGTGATACAAAGGCTCACCAAACCAGGAATAAAGGGACTGTCCCCATCCTGACAAAGAACATTCATAAGAGCCCACAGCTAACACTGCATTTGATGGTGAAAGCCTCCATGTTTCCCCCTAAGAGCAGGAACAAGACAGGGTGTCCACTCTCACCACTTCCCTCAGCACTGGCTGCTGGGCTGGGCCTGCCCAGGGCAATCAGGCAGAAAGAAGAAATGAAATCAAAGGCCCCCAGATTGGAAAGGAGGACGTAAAACTAACAAGATGACACGATCTTGTCGATAGAAAATCTTAAGAAATCCACTAAAAATAGGATCAGAACTTAAAAACAAATTCAGCAAGGTTTCAAGATACAAGGTGAATATACAAAAAGTAATTATATTTCTGTATACTGTCAATGAACCCAAAAATGAAATTAAAAAAAATTATAATAGCATCAAAAAGAATGGAACATTTAGGAATAGATTTAACAAAAGGTGTGTAAAACCTATGCTCTGAAAACTAAAATATATTGTTTAAATTAAAAAAGACCTAAATCAATAAAAAGACACCCACATTCATGTATCAGAAGACTAAATATTGTTAAGACGGCAATGCTCCCCAAATTCAACATAAATTCAATGCAATCTCGATCAAAATCCCAGCTAGCTTCTCTGCAGAAACTAACAAGCTGATCCAGAAATTTTTATGGAAACTCAAGGGATCTAGCATAACCAAAACAACCTTCAAAAAGAACAAAATTGGAGGACTCACACTTCCAGATTTCAGAACTTCCTAAAGGATTCAGTAGTAAGTCAGGATGATACTGGCATAGGATATGCATAGAGATCAGTGGAAGAGACTCGAAAGTCCACAGGTAAAGCCGCACATCTACAGTTGACTGATTCTTTTCCAGTGTGCCAAGGCCCTTTCATGGGGACAGAACTGTCTTTCAACAAATGTGCTGGGACAACTAGCTATCCACATACAAAAGAATCAAGTCGCACACTAGACTCTCAACCTAGACAAGTTAACTCAAAATCAAAGACTTTAATGTAAGAGCTAAAACTATAAAACTCTTAGCAGAAAACACAGGAGTAAATCTTTAAGAACTCAGATTAGGCAATGGTTTCTTAGAATGACACCAAAAGTAATCATAGCAACAAAAAGATAAACTGGACATTGTCAAAATGTAAACCCTTGGTGCTTCAA